TGAAAAAATTGAGTTTTCAAAATTTTGAAACTACCGTAGTTTTTGTAGTTTTCAACGAAAATGGCTCGTTAACGAACTTAACCTTCATTTTTACACCAACTTTAAGTGTGTTAAATTTAAAAACGATCAGATAAGATTTTTAAAAGTTATTGTGTCAACAACATTTTGGTCTACAGACGGACATACAGACAGACAGACAGACAGACACACAGACAGACGGACTCGCCGGACCATGTTTTTCGGGTTCAGGGGACCTCAAAACGTAAAGATTTCATAAAATTATCAAAAGTCAATTTTCGACCAAAACTAATACTTTCTCATGTGATGAGAATGTAATAAAAATTAGTTTTTTGGAAATAACTCGAAAAGTTTAGGGTTTAGCAAAAAGTTGTCAACAGCAAAGTTGTAGATGATGCAAAACCGAGAAAAAAAGTCTCTGGTAGCAAAATCGCATATGCAATAATGTCGGAGATAATGGAGTCGGAATATTGAATTTTTTTCAAAAAAGCGCACAAAAAATATAAATAGAGAGTGGTTTTTCCGAAAATTACGACTTTTTTGTGTACAATTATGTTTTTCGAGTATTTTAGGGTGAGAATATGTCAAAATCAGTTAACTGACTTTTATTCCTTTCAAAAAATTCGATTTTCAGTGTTATTTTAAGATTTTTTTAGTTTTTTTTTGACCATTTAAGAGACTATAACTTCGAAAATTGAGTTTTCATGAAAAAATGTTGTAGAGAAAAGTTGTTTGTATTTTCCTAATCTAAAATAATATAAAGTTAAAAATTCTGAAATTTGAAAAAATTGAGTTTTCAAAATTTTGAAACTACCGTAGTTTTTGTAGTTTTTAACGAAAATGGCTCGTTAACGAACTTAACCTTCATTTTTACACCAACTTTAAGTGTGTTAAATTTAAAAACGATCAGATAAGATTTTTAAAAGTTATTGTGTCAACAACATTTTGGTCTAGAGACGGACATACATACATACAGACAGACAGACAGACAGACACACAGACAGACGGACTCGCCGGACCATGTTTTTCGGGTTCAGGGGACCTCAAAACGTAAAGATTTCATAAAATTATCAAAAGTCAATTTTCGACCAAAACTAATACTTTCTCATGTGATGAGAATGTAAAAATCTAAAGTCAGCAGAAAGATAAATATAATTCTAATAAATTTAAAGGATTTGTTTTAATTCCAATATATGTAAAGACAACCTTTCTTTACGAGGTTTAAGTCTCAAGTTTTGTGTATTCCTAAAGGAATATTAAAGTACTCAGTGAAAATATCAATCTAGTGACCCTAGATTTGGTATTTCCTCAATTTTCTGGAATAACCGTTTCGAGATAGACAGAGAGATAAAAACATTCGTCATTGGATTCACATTTCAAGGAAAGAATTTATAAGTAGTGAGTAAAGCATTTTGTATAAAATTACATATACTCTTTACCTCATCCACACACATACACATACTATTCTTTCATACACAAGTATAGAATTACTCTTTACTCACACCAATTTAGAGTTACTTGTATTAGGGATTTCTTTGGGTAAAATATATCTTATTTGTTTAATCTTATTTTTGCTTATGATTTAATTATTCCTAAAACTATCCTATCTTCTCTAAATTCAAGGAGTAGGGTTCTCAACCTCTTAGTTGAATCAATAACTAAGTAGAGGGGGAATCCACTACCTTTACAATTTCTTTGTCCGAAGGACACGTTAAGTTAAAGTTTATTTAAAAATTAATAATTTAAAATTAAATAAATTTCTAAAATCCTACTTTAACAGTTCATAAAAACATAAAGATATTTTATGATTTAATCAATTTGAGCAGCAGCTTATACAAATAATTGCTATTGACAAATGAAGGGCTGGCTGCAATAAGGGGACGAACGCGTGGTTGAAAGGAATAATACTAGTCAAGTAGCAGTGAGCGGCTTAATGCTTGTCACTGTTACCCGACTTGTATTTTTAAAATATTGTAGCTTCTTCAACAACACATATTTCTGCGAAAATATTTAGTAGTTAAAATAATTTCTCATTTTCGATCAGCAAGAACAAAAATTTGCATTTAAGTTCACTTAATCTCGCAATTATCAGCAAGCAAAAGTATGTGATGAGAATGTAATCCCTAAAGTCGTAGTAACTTTAAGAAAAAATAATTTCTTGAAACATATAATAGAAAAAAGGAAAAGAACGCAAATAATGCACAACGGTCGTGGATGACTGCGAGCTACAGGTTTGCCAGATTGGGCTACTAAGCGCGATTTGGGCTATCTTTTGGGATAATTTCGCGGCGTAAATTTCATTTTTGCTACAGGTAGCGATTTGGGCTACATTTCCTATATCAAATTGCGCTTTTTGCGATTTTTGAACTTTTAGAAAATTTTGTTTTAAAATACACAAAAATCGAATCTCAAATCAAAAATATAATGAGAACTGTCAATTAGCGCCTAGTAGTGGACATAACGGATACTATTCTTGTACCCTGTTTGCGCTGTCGGTATCTGATGCTTTACGTTGATACATATATGTACGGTTAGACCGTTGTGTTTGCTGATATGTGGACGTAAACTATGTTTGCTTGATTTTATGTTTAAAAGTGTTCCGAGCGGCAAGTTTGATCAAACATAAATGTGGAAATGGGTAAATAGGGAAAGTATTTAAAACAATATAATCCGAAGTGGGAAAAAGAATCAGTCCTCAAAAGTAAGTATATTGATAAATTTGTTTCTTAACCTATAAATACCTACAAATAGTTCAGAATATGTTAATTTTGTTCAAACTAATAATATTTTGTATTTAACAGCCTAATGTTTTTAGAATTTGACACAATATTTAATGAAATTATTTTTAATAATTTAAACGAAAGCGAAATAATATACCTTTTAATTTATAGATGAAATTTTTCTTGAAATTCGCGTCAGCGCTAAACATGAAAATGTATGTTACTATTAATTAATATTTGCAGATTGGATTGCTCCTACAAGTGAAATCGATGTTGCAAATGGAAAACCCGAAGCTTACTGCAAACTTTGCTGTACTCATATTCGAGCCCACCACAGTGACTTAATTGTTCATTCAAATCGTGTAAAACACCAGGATAAAGAAAAAGCGCTAAACAAGAAGGAACAGGCAAATTTACACGATTATGGTAATTTATGAGTACATAATAAAATCAAAAAGATTTAATTAAAAATAATCAATGTTATAATTTATAAATTACTATATGGATTATTTTATTTGATAACCGAAATTTTATGCTAATTTTATTATATTTCAGGTGTCATTGTGACTGACCAAATGAAAATCGCGGAACTAAAACTAGCAGTATTTGTGGCATTGCATTGTCCAGTGAAAACAATTGACCACTTGGGAGAACTTTTAAAAGTAATAGGAAAAGACTCATTTCTAAAAAATCTTATACTCCACCGAACAAAATGTTCCAAGCTGATATCAAATGTTGTTGCTCCTGTTCAGTTAGCAGATCTCATAAAAGATGTAGGGAATTCCCCGTATGCTCTCATCATTGATGAATCCACGGATGTTTCTACAACGAAATTCATGGGACTTTGTATCCGCTATTTCAGCCAAACAACTCAGAAAATGATAACAGACTTCCTGGGCATAGTCAAAGTTGTTAAATGTACTGGCGAGCAATTAGCGACTGATCTCGTAAAGTATCTCGAATCAATTCGTCTTTCCATAAGTCAACTTCATGCTATTGGTACTGATGGTGCGGCCAATATGTGCGGAAACAATAACTTGATGTATTCTCACCTTAAGAAGCTTTTACCAAATTTACAACTTGTTAAATGCATTTGCCACAGTATCGACAAGTGTGCAGAATATGCATTTAAAGCTCTTCCTGAACATCTCACTTACATCCTGAACGAAAGCAACAATTGGTTTTGTCATAGCGCTAAAAGGCAAGAAGAATACGCAGAGATTTTTAAGGTAAGCTTCTTGCATTTTTTTTATTTGTATTCGATTGTTATTTTTATTTAAATGGAAAATTTATATTTTTGATTTTCAGGCTGGACATGAAGGAAGGGCTCCTCAGAAACTTCAGTCTTTGTCAAAAACACGTTGGTTAGTTTGGCTTCCAGTTTCATCTATAATTGTAGGCCAGTGGTACGATCTTCGTGAATATTTTTCAAGGGGAGCACAAACGAATACAACAGATCTAAGATTAACCAATTTGTCGAACCTGTACAACGATGATTCAAACTTACTCTACTTGACTTTTTTAAAAAGTACACTCAAGGATGTAGATAGAATGAATTTAGCGTTTGAACACACTAATGCCGACATAACAAAGCTTTATGGTGATCTCCGCAATTTAGTCTATTCCATTTCCAGGCGTGTTGTTAAGGAGAGAGCGATTGCAGAAACCTACAACCCTGGTACTCTCAGATTAGACGAAGTTGAAATGTTGCAGTCTGCATTGAAATCTTCCGACAATTTAATACCTATTGATCAAGTTCAATTCGGAGAAAACTTTTCTCAGCTCTCGAGGACACTGCAAATTTCCCAAAGAACGATGAATGCTGTGCGTTCAAATTGTGGCAATTATTTGCTAATTTTATGCCGTCAACTCCTTGATCGAATGCCTCTCAATATTAAAGTCATAGACAAGATAAAAAACTTTTCTCCAAAATTAGTTTTATCCAGACTAGGTCGACCAACATTTAACCAACTTCCTTTGGACTTGGGTGAGCTTTTCAACTTACTAACTAACTTAAATTATATATTTATATATTGGTTTATTTTTAATAGCAATATATATAGAGACATGGATTCTATTCTTTATTAAATTATAATTTTCTTATAAAAAAAAGCTTTATAGAAAAAAATTGTTCCTCAACTGCACAAAAATTATTTTTTTGAATATTATAATATAATATTAAGAGTTAAATGTGTATTAATAATTAAAAATTTTTTCAGACCCATCTGCAGATCGAGATTTGCTGGAACGACAGTGGCAGGCTTTAGGTGTTTTGACTTCCCCTGACTTGTGCATGCATTCGCCCATGAATCAAGATGTCAATACTATTGACATCGAACATTTTTGGGCCTGTGTTTTAAATACTTCTAATGCTATTGGGGAGTATCCATTTAAAGAGCTTGCTTCGTTCGCTTTGCGGGCTATCACTTTGCCAGTCAGCAACGCTGTCGTGGAGCGTTTATTCAGCTTTATGAATAACATCAAAGACAAAAAAAGGAACAAATTGCAGTTGTCGATGCTGGATTCTTTGTTACGCTTGTGCGTCCATCTAAAAACATTTAATAAATGCTGCACTGATTTTGAAGTGTCAAGGGACATGTTAAATCGGTTCACCAGCAACATTTACGAAAATTTTAGTTCAGATGAACTCGAAAATGATGTTGAGAATCAGGATGTGAATGTTGTTCAGGACATGGAGACAGATTTACCAGAAGACGAATATAGAGATTTGATGGATCTATTTCAAAATAACTTTGAACAATGTAAATCTGTTGCTACGTTTTTCTAATTTTTCGAAGTTTCAATTTAAAAATTTTATATTGAATATTTAAAATATATTATTATTTAAAATGTTTTAAAAAAATATATTAAAGTTATTTAATATATAACATTAAAGATTTAATAGAAAATAAAAGTGTCAGTATTAAATTAGCGATATGTGTACTTTTTTAAATATATATGAAAACTCCCGCGCTTTTTGGGCTACTTCAGCGCCGTCTGTGCGCGGTTCGTAGTCCGAAATATCTGGCAACCCTGGCGAGCTATTTGCGCGCGAAGCGCGCAACAATCCTCGGAGCGCGAAGCGCGACGACCAAAATTCGCGCGCCCTGAGGCGCGCTGAACCTAGCGAGCCTCCCGCGCGAAGCGCGGATGAGAATGTGTCCGCCTGAAGGGCGGGCAGATTTTTTAGTAAAAATTTCTCTTATTTAACTTGGACTGGTTAAATTTTTGTCAGAAATTGGTCCGTAATTTTTCATTTTTTGTCCGTAAAGACCGTATTTTTAAAAACTTTCACTGGTTCGAGCTCTGTCCTTAGAAATTCAATTTTCAAATATTTTTAAACAATTTTCGACTATAATAAAATTATTTTTTATAAATCCAACATGGCCGACTAATTTTTAAAAACTCATTAGATTAGCTTAAAATTTGTTTTTCGGGGGTTTTAGGGGTCGCTGGTCACAAATCTGGAGTCCAATTTTCAAAATTCGAAATTGCGGATCCAATATGGCGGACAATTTCTAAAAAATCATTAGATTCGCTTGAAACTTGTTACTCGAGAGTTTTTGGGGTCGCTGATTATGATTATAATGTTTACCTCCACGTTGTGAAAGTTTGAAAAAATTAAAAATATTTTAAGTATTTTAATGGCTAAAGAACGTGATTATCGAATTTCAACTGAAAATTCGTCTGACATATTGGATCCGCCATTTTGAATTTTTAAAATTGGACTTCAGATTCGTGATCAGCGACCCCAAAAACCCCCAAGTAACAAGTTTTAAGCAAATTTAATAAGTTTTTAAAAAAATTGTCCGCCATAGAGACATTCTCTGAAAAAAGCCACTTAAAAAAAGTGCTTAGCTTTTTTTGTATTTTAAAAACTAAGAGAAAAAACATGATTTTAGGTCCGTGCAATGCGGGGTTGCCATACTGTCAGGGGTCAAACTATTAACCAAAATAATTTTCGAACTGCTATAACTTTAAAACGAATAAATAGATTTGAAAACGCCTACAGAGATTTTTCTGCAGAATTACCTAAACTTTAAAACTATGAATCATAAAAATTTTTTAAATTTATATTTTATAGAAAAAATTAAAAATAAATTTTTGTTCAATTTTTAACCCTTATGCCCCCTTTGATTTTTTTCAAAATTACCTAAAAATATTCCTTTTTTTATTACCTTTTTATCCCACCAAAAAAAATTATGGGACAATAATATTTGTATGAGTTACAAATTAAAAACTAGCTCAGCGCACGCTCTCAATTCGAGAAAATGCTCTCGCGTATAGAATTCGAGTATCCAAAGATGCCACTAGGTGGCATTGATGAATGCTTTCTTACAATCAAGTTTATTTACGCATATTATAAGTATCGCGACTTTTTGTACCTGTAACTATTTGTGTGCGATTAGATAAATTGAAAGACATATACCTGTTATAAGGAAATTAAATTATAAAAAACAAAGAATTAGGTAATTAGAACTTACACGACATTTTCACTTTGAGTATGAACAATATAGTCAAATCCATTGTGGTGTTTTCCACTAAAAGCACGCGTAAAAACTTGATCGGGTGGATCGCCGGCGTTCATGTCCAAGTTGAATATTTGAAAACAAAACGATATTACTATTGTCGAAGCACGAGAGAAAATGGTGACGTTGCTACACGGAGAGACAAAACGGGGATTTTCTACTATGTAGCACGTAGTGGTCTGTGGCTTTAGCACAAGGGACTGCGCTGCCTTACGGCGTAAGCACGAACTCGTAGATTGCAGCAAGAGCTCTTAGGGTGCGATTCCATGTGAGCAGAATACGTCGACCGAAAGCAGAAAATCACGAGAGTGAAAATAAGAACAATTTCTTCCTATCTCTTTTGCACTCATGATTTTCTGCTTTCGGTCGACGTATTCTGCAAAACCAATCGTCTAAATTCAGTGCTTTTCGTAAAGTATTCAAGTTTTCAGAACTTTCTAAACGAAAGGCTTCTCTCTCTCTCTCTCTCTCTCTCTCTCTCTCTCTCTCTCTCTCTCTCTCTCTCTTTTTCCAGTGTGCGAAACGGCGAAAGTGTTAAAAAAATTTTAATTACTCGATGGCTAATATAAACGGTTTTATTGAAGCGGGACTTCTCACAAATAGTGAACATATTTATGAGAATCATTTATATGTTGAAAATCGCATTGTTAATGATACAAAGTAAGTAATTCTTTAACTTTTAATATTTTTAACCTAAAAAGCACATGCTGATACTTTTGGCGGCATTACTTTCTCAATTGTTGGAATTTATTGAAAATTATTGTATATTAAATTGGCACATTGACGCTTCTTTGGGTAAAAAAAATGAGTAATAAATTGTTTAAAAAGATGCCGTTGTAGAATTTACAGAGAAGAAAAATTTGTTGTTTAGCAATAATTATTTTATATTTTTTGCCCTTTTAAAAAAATAGCTTTCTTTCATTATTTAAAGATTCTCTGTAATTTTTTTTGTTAAATTTTTTTTAAATAACAGTTTAATTTCTAGTATAGATAAAATAGTCTTTTAATACTTATTTAAAAAGTGATAAAATAAGCTTTACAATGAAAATTTACAAATTAAAATCTGATGATTACTTTGAAAATTATATCAATTAAAAAAATTGATAATTTGATTTTTATTATAAGCAATTGAACAATGAAAAAAAGGTTTTAAATTTTCTTCCCCTCCGTCACACATCTTCGAAATAATTACACCATTACACACGTATAGAGGGAATCCCTCATCACATTGTAAAATAAGCAGGACTACCACATAAGGCTGTGTCTACAATAGAAAAAAAATATGGTGTAATTTGTAGTGTAATGTGTATTGTTTTTGGCATTGATAACTGTCAGGGGCAATTACACTAAACATTACACAATTTTCTACACATTATTCAGGGTATCCAGCTACCTTGAAAACCTTGAAAAGTACTTGAGTTTTTTTGCTCCTTTAAAACCTTGAAAAATTGAAATTTTTAAAAGAGAGATTTATTTCCTAGATGTTTTAAGTTGAATTCTCGTCAATATTTTAATTATCTTTATAAATATAAAAATTCTTCGCCGAAATTCAATTATATTCAGGTACTTTAACACAATTCATTGCAAAATACAATTATTTTCATAAATAACAATATTCATCACAAGAATTCAATTATTTTAAAAATTAATTAAATGCATCTCAGAAATTCAATTATATTTTCAAAAAATCAAAAAGAAAATTGTGGTCAACATTTTAATTATCTTTATAAATAAATAACAATAATCTTCGACAAAGTTAAATTATTTTGTAGAATTTTAATAAAATTCATTGCAAAATTCAATTATTTTAATATAAATAATAGTATTCATCACAAGAAGTCAAAATTTTTTAATAAAAATCATGGCAAAAAATTCTTGCTTCAATGGTTATCAATATTCAAATTATTTAAATCAGTCTGTTTATTAACAGAGTTTTCGGACTTGAGAATGTGAAACATCTCTCTAAATTTCCTTCGTCTGTAATTTCGTTCGTAACATATGCTGTTTGTTGCTTTGAAATTAAATAGATGGTCATTCTCATGTACATGAGTGACCAAAGCTGTTTTTCTACTATCGTTTCTACAATCCCTCTTATGTTTACTTAATCTGTCTTTAATATATCTACCAGTCTCACCAATGTAGCAAGCTCCACATTGGCAAGGTACACAATAAACCAAATGCGATTTTAAATCAAAAGAAGTAGGGTCTTTATTTTTTGAAAAAATTTTAAACGGATCCTTATCAAAAGAGAAAACGACACCAACATTGTACTCATTAAATAAATTTTTAAAAAAATATTGCAGCTCATTTACGTAAGGCAAAACGACTAAATTAGTGGAAGAAAAAGGTTCTTTGATATTATTATTATTTACATTGTTATTTAATAAAAATTGGTAACGTAAATCAATATATTTATTTAAAAAGTTTACAGGGTAATTATTTTCAATTAGGATATCGTGAACAAATTTCAAATTTTTATTAAAAAATTTTCCTTCAGACAATTTAATGGCTCTGTCTACCAAGCCATAAACAATGGAAATTTTATCTTTAACAGAAACATTAGAATTATAGTTTAAATATCTACCAGAAAAAGTATCTTTATGATACCAATCAGTCATGATAGAGTTGTTCTCTTTTATTAGAAGGGTGTTCAAAAAACTAATGCGACCATTATTTTCAATTTCAATGGTAAATTGTATATTATTATTATTATTATTATTATTATATATTATTATTAATAATAATATTATTATTATTTTTTTGAATTATATATTTAGTAAATTTCCGGGAAGAAACCTTCTTGGTAAGTTATAGGTTACTAGCTGTCGTACCCGTCTTCGACGGGTTTTAGTTTCTACCAATACATTTAACAGTGTGTCTACCAATTTGGAAAATAAGGAAATAGCTCAGGAATTTAATTTGACCGGAAAAAAATAATAATTAGTTAGGTACCATTATAGCTATTTCAGTAGGAAAATATTACTATTTGAATCAGTGATTGACTTTTTATTATCAAATTAGTTATTTTAACCAATTCAAATGCAGAGAACAATATTTGTCAATTTGTAGTACTTTAATTAATGCATTAAAAATTTATCAAATTTCCCACCCAGTTTTTGGAGTTATAGTAGAGTCTAATTGGAACTAATTGTATCGCAAAGGTTACGACTGCTAAAACCTAACATAAGACCTATATTTTAGACTGAAAGTAGGGCTTAAATTTTGACCCGGGTCTGTTTTCATAAATATTATACATCAATAAAAATTAAAGTAAAAAGCAATTTTTTAAAAGCGAATTAATATAATGAAACTTTTTCTTAATTTGATTGGAAAATTCCCAGCTTTTTCCAGTTTTCCCCGTTTGGTAGTTACCCTGTTAAATGTATTAGTAGAAACAAAAAACTGTCGTAGACGGGTACGACAGCTAGTAATATAATCTATATTTTATATGAACTTAAGAAAGAGTATTTTCATAAAAATAAGTAAATTTTTATAGCCATTTGTAGATTTATTTATGGATAAAATCAAGTAAATTTAAATTTAACAAAAAAAGATAAACCGTGAAAAAGGACAAAGCAGGAAATTTTGTTAAATAAAATAGACACCGTGTTAACTTTTGTCTTTACATTGCTCAAAACATCTCTAAAAGTTAAATCTAGAGTTAAAATAAAAAAAACGTTTTAACATATAAGTTTTTGCCTAGTGGTATATAATATGCTTGTATTGTATCAGAGGTGACTTACAATTTCTTGACATCCTGCAATATCATTTTAATCATGAAAAATTTGCATTTTCAATATTTCTGAAATTCTTGAAAATATTAGATTAATTTGATAAATAATTCTCAATTACACTATTTTTACGTCAAAATAATAATCAGAGACTCCAAAAATATTACTGAATTAAACTTCATAGTAATTAGTATCGATTTTTTGATATTGAAAATATTTTTATATTTACTTATAGGATAGTATTTTTTGCAAAATTATGCTAAAATCTGACTAAATAACATATAATATTGAATTTTAGAAAGTTTAAAAGCTATCCATTAAAAATGTGAAATTTGAAAATTTTCCATTTTTTGAAGTTTTTGAAAATATTTTTATATTTACATTTTAGTTATAGGATAGTATTTTTTGCAAAATTATTTTAAAATGTGACTGAATAACATGTAATACTCAAATATAGAAAGATTAAAAGCAATCCATGAAAAATGTAAAATTTTGAAATTTTTGATTTTTTGAAAACATTTGTATACTTACATATTAGTTATAGGACTTTATTTTTTGCAAAATTATGCTAAAATGTGACTAAATAACATGTGATACTCAAGTATAGAAACTTTAAAAGCAATCCATGAAAAAATTAAAAATTTTGAAATTTTCGATTTTTTGAATTTTTTGAAGAAATTGAATATCTCCCGTTCTAATTAATATTTTTTAAATCTGTAAATTTATAAACCTTCCTTGGGTCAATACCTAATAACCTACCAAGTTGGACTTAAATCGATTTACATGTTTTTGTGTGATTGGGGTACAAAGTTTTTATGACAGACATACGTACATACATACGTACATACATTAAATTTTTTAAGAATATTTTTGGAATCCCTGATGGCCATAATAACTAATCATGTTAACATTTTGAAGTTTTAAGCAATGTACAGACAGACATCTGATTTTATTAATAAGGATGTCATAGGTTATGTTCTTCTAGATATTTTTCGATATATTTCTTTCACTAATGATTGTATGTCATTTCAGTTTAAAATTATCTGAGGATGCCTGTCGTCGACGGGCGAAAGCTAATAATTAATTATTATAAAATTATATGAATGGATTTTTTCAAAGAAACAAAATAAGATCTCACTAAAATTCATTTTTGTTCTCATAAACCAAAAATAGTAACACGAATATTTGTAAAAATAATGTAACATTAACAAATACGTAAAAAAATCACAAAATAATTCATCATTTAGTAGTTATACTGTGCCGTTTCTGGACCAACATGTGTTAGTGCGTGTCTGTGTGACCTTGAGAGTGTGTGAGTGCGTGTCTGT